CTGCTATTCAATGTTATCACTTAAATATTTGCAAATAATTATAAATCCAGACAATTTCTGGTTAAATTACAAGTAGAGCACATTTACAGAAGTTTTTCTTCAGCTGTCCTCGTATCTCCCAGTACTTCTGTCTTCAGTTCCCTTCATCTTTCCTCCATCTAATAATACTCACACTCTAGAGTTCAAAAGTGACACACAACATATGAAGTGAATCCTGTTTCCTCCACATAACTGTGCAAATTCATGGTGTAAACCCAGCTCCATATTGAACTCAGCATTTCCCATGTGTCCCTACACCTCTCAGACAACCAAGCACAAAGCTGGTAGCAGGCCCTGGGCAATGGATCAGCAAACATGGGGTTTACATCAAATATGGGTGACTCTGAAAAGTAACATTCCCCTTGCTGTTCCTTACCTATAAACACCTATCATCAATGTTTCCCTCTCTTCATGAGTGTCTTGAGAGTTTTACGGCTACAGCACCTTCCCCAGGGGCTGCAGCTTCTGCAAGCCTCCATTTCTCACACCCCTCCTTAAGGATTTCTTTTCAGTAATCTGCCCTCTGCCACTGTTTAAGATTCTGCTTCCTCAACACAGTTGATGAACTTCATAAATTAACTGCTAATGAAGTTAAACTACCTGGCCAGGAAATTGAGTTTTCCAGTTTTTAATAGCAAGTGACAAAGATAAGAGTCATGATTTAGTTAACTACTTAAGCTGAAATTGATCTACTGTCCAAATTCTCCCTGGATTCCTTTATCACAAGTAAGATTTAACACACTAGTTTTTTACTTTTCTTATGAGACTTTTATTTTAGTTCTCCTGTCTTTCTGGTTTTTCTTCCTGAACACTGTTGTTTCTATAAACCACTTTGATGCTTCCTATTCTCCACTTCATTCTTTTTTGCAATTAGGTTATTGAAAAGCTTCCAGTTGTTTGTATTTGCTTTATTCTTTTCTATTGATTATTCAGTCCTTTTAACACATTGCAATTGCTTTAACATACACTGGAGTTAGTTTTAGGGACTTCCATTTGCATAGCACCCTTCTTCACTAATAACCCTAAAGCCATGAATGGACCTGGCTGCACAACCCCCCTCAGAGTCATTTTGTTCTATACTGCTGGCTTTCACCAGGCAGCTCAGTCCAGGCTATGTCTGTAAAGCATTTGCTGTGTCCTGAGGCTGTGCTTACAAGTACTGGCATTCTGTCACCATACAAAATAAGCAATAAGAGTCATCATCCTGCGTTAGAAAAGATCTCTCCAGGTCAGTGGATCATCCAGGTCACCCTCCAATGGTGGCCAAAAGCAGATAGGAAATGAAGGGTACACAAAGGGGTGAGCATATACAGTACCTCCCCCAGGTACTCTCTTGGCCTCCAGTTATTTGCAGCTCGGGAACTTCTTCAGTCCGAAATCTACTTACTCAGTATTCTGAGGATTTTTCTTACATGAGCTTGTCCAATCTTCTCCTTCTCCACAAGCTTCACCTTATAACACATGTGCAAAGAATGAGTAATGCCATATGTTAATTGTGGTCAATATACAGTGAAAATGCCTATAAAATATTAATTCTGAGAAGAATCCCATTTTAAGTGTATTATTTATAAACAGAATGAGATTCATTTATTTTTTAAAATATATACGGGCAAACATTTGAACTAATCAAAGTGTTGTGTTCCAGCTGATTTAAACCCTTCCTACTCTGCTTCTTGTTTCACCAGAGCTCTTACCTGAGAAGGTTCCTCATGCAGCCTCCTCCCACTGTCAACAGGACCAGGTGGAGGAAAGTCAAAGAGAACAACCCAGTTGTCTTGCTTTCACAGATGGCTGCCTGGCCCTCTTGGGCCCCTATTTATTTTCTTTAATGGCTATATAAATTGCCCAAACTTTACAATCTACTAAAGACAAAAATAACACAAATCTTGTCCTGCTCTTCGCAATAACATTTAAATTGACACACTATCACTGTTCTGTATTTCATAAACTTCCCCTAATGAGGTTGTAACAGTATAATACTCGTATTTGCACAGGCAAAGAAAAAATGCCTACTGGAATGAATTTTAGGCTCTATGTCTACTTTTTCATGGTTTCACATCATTTTTCCTTGGGTATTTCTTTGATCAGTTCAATTTTATACAATATTTACACAAGACTGCTCAGAAATGCTAGTGCTCTGAAACAATTATTACTTAATCTCCTCTAAATCCTTACTAATATGTCATATTCTTTAAATAACTCACAGAAAAAATAGAACACTTAAATGGTTGTAAACACATAGAAGACAAAAATATATTAAACTGCTAAGGAAAAGAAATATAATTCAGTATTTATACAAGAATCCAAGTGTTAAACTTTAATATGAACAGGAAGAAGAGGAGCCAAAGGATGAGCTGAGAAGTGAATAATTCATCTTTAAGATGCAACAAGTATTTTTTGAATTTTCCACTTATTTTAGAAATGTGTGACAAGTGCTAAAACAAATTGTACAGTCACTGAAGCATTGGGCCTGTTCAGATTTCTATTGAAATGTCTCTGACAAAACGAAAATGGGCTTTCCCTTATTTAAGACATAGCTATCACCAATCAATGTTTTCCCAGACTGTAATACAGAGATTCCTGAAAATCCTTATAATTCTCCCATCAGTCAAAAGTGAGATGCTCTGGGCAGGAGCCTTACATTCACTGCATGGAAGGATGCACTTCCACTGTGTTTAAAAAAAATGGTATTTTAGTAATTTTGCCACTAGACAGGTTTCTTCATGAGTATAGGGAAACCCCATACTAACTCAGATAAAAACTAGCTGGTATAGGGAAGATTTTTGTACATCAATCTGCAAGCTTCAACAATGACTACATAAACATACCACCAAATAGAACAGCCTTTTTCTCAGTGGAAATGCTCAAATTTAAGAGAACTCAGATAATGAAATGTAATTGAGATGTGCAAATGAATGAGGCACAAAATAAAAAATCAGATTCTGGGAATCTCCCTCCCTTTCCAAAGCTGTTTTCCAGATTTTACTTCACCTTTCAGTTGCTTTTGTAATCACATTTCATTGCTGTGAAAATGCTTAAGCTGAAGTTGCAAAGTACAGCAATGATGTACACTGCAAAGTACCTAGGATTAGAAGACTGCTTGGAAAAGGAAGCAACATGATCATCAAGTGAGGTCAAGCAGGTACAACCCAACAGAACTCAGTAAACCAGTCTATTAATAACAAACCAAAAGGGGATAAGCAGCAGTCACTCAATTTAGCTGCACCGGTATTACAGCAGGGGTAAAATACACAAATACGTATTTACAACTCTGAATTATTGAAAGTTTTTTCCTTCAGAAGCAGCTCAAATTAGCAAACAGATTCAGTCTTCACAATCACATTGAATTAAAATTCACTATCCATATGTAACAGGCTCTGTATTACTGCATCAGTTTTAGGTGAAGCTAGGTACATTTCAACTTACACTTCAACACTGCTAACTTACAAGGGGCATATAAAACATTAATTTATGTTCTACACATAAAGGAATTGAAGATTAATTGTTAATAGTAATATTTTCCAAATATTACTACAGCGAAGCAGAATGAATAGACTACATGAATTAGCAGAAGGAAATTCCAATTTATATATCAAATTGATATCCTTTGTTTTCATACCAATGTTTGGAACATATTACATAGCAGTAGATCTTCAAACTACCACATTTCTCCCAAGAACAAGCTATTAGTTATTGATCTGGCTGATAAATCTACACAATAACCATTGTGGGTATAGGTAACCATGGTTCACTGTCAAATTAACACCTGCTCTTTGCAGTTTAGTAGCCAGCACAGAATTACTTTTTTGCCATTTCAGTACTACAAGTGACCAGGTGAGAACAGAGGCCAACCTCATCCTTCTCTAGGGCTTTATCCAGAGCACTTTCAGGAGAAACCATTTCCATATCTCTTTTACAGCTGGAACACTCCAGGTGCTCAATATGCTCCTGGAGAATCAGACAGGCTGAAGTAGGTCAGCCCAAGCTTTTCCTGGTTTAACAGTCCACAAGCAACATGCAAATCAAGACTGAAGAAGAAATGCAGGACCCAGCATAAGATAAAGCTGTGTGAGTTTATCTACATAAATTAATTTTTAAATTGTTTTCAGGACTACAGCAGATGAAAATAGCTACAGTATCTCTACAGCAGCTTTGCTCTCTGTGGTCTTCACTTTCTACTGCACTACCAAACCCAGATGGAACATACCAAGACTGTTCCTGTGTCATCCCATGGGTGGGGGGAAGAGGGGGAAGAAAACTCATTCATTTTCAGGAGTGGCAACTTTAGCTCACTGCTTAGGTGCACAGGAACTATGAACAGCTACAAAATCCTTCTGTCTTCTGGCACACAATCTCCCTAAGGATGCTTACTAAGTATCATCTTGTCTCTTCCTCATTCAAGCTGTTTTTAATCAAGATAGCAATGGGAAAATCCCAAGGAAAGATAACAAAAGGAGCACACGCTTCTTTAGAAGGCCCTCAGTTTTCCCATCATTTTCTTTATTATTTCAGAGGTACTGAACTCACAAGGCTTGATTACAAACCCCCTGAGTCCAGCTCTACAAGGCACTATGCAGCAGTGGCACCTGGGACAGCCACACGCAGTGGCTTCACCTCAACATACACTCCTAACCCCAGTACTACCACCAAGATTTGTGAATTTTCAGAAGAAGCCCATATAGTTTTTCTCCAGTTTTTATGTCACAGGAACCTAAACATGGAACTTTAAAATTTTTTTATGTCTTTTACATGTAGGTCTTTGGTAAGGAGCAATGATCTTATCCTGAATAATATGAGAAGAGAAACAGGGAAGTTATTGTCAGGCCTGTGATAACCTTGAAATATTTTCATTCAGCTGCAACTAAACAAATCATTCCAGACAAATGCAGTTGGGTTTTAGAATGCTACAAGTATTTAAAGAAGATGAGACAACCATAAATAACAACAGTACATCTTAAAAATTGTATATAAAATACTGAATTTATTAGTTTCATGAGCTAAAAAACCACATCAAAACTTCAGATCATATATACAGTAAGTCTTCTCAGAATGGATCACTTATGTTTAAAGATGAAGACGTTTTACACAGAGAACTTGATCTCTGCAGCTAATTAAAACAGCTTGGACACAGTTTCACACAGTACTGAGAAAATGGTTTTAGGATAAAAAATTAAATAAAGTAAAATAAAATAAAATAATCTTATCCTTTCTCATTGAAGTATTTGCATGTGCTGCTATTTTTCATTCTGCAAACTAAAAATGACAATTAAATCAAGCAATTAAGTCCTGCAAACTGCTGTTTAAATAAAACACCTATACAGTTTAAATCCATCATGAATGCAAGTTAAAAAAATATATCAAAACTGTTCAGCAAAATGTCTGGACAAGTATCTTGATAAGCTCTGGTACTTGTCCAGGTTCCATCAGCTTTCTCCTAAAAGATGGAAGTATTTTCTGCCACCAGTCCATATGCACCAGTTTCAGGTTCTAAATTATTCAAGTAGAATGGAGATCAATTTTGCCACCACATGTACGTTGAGGCTGTTTCCCAGAAGACGATAGCATTGCTTCACTGTTACCTTTTCAGGAAAACCTAAAACAAAAACATATAGTGCAACATCACTAGTCTGGGTTTGTTCCTACTTTTTAGTATTTTTTTTTTCAGTGAATATTTCTTAGTGCAGTTATCACAGATTGCAGCAGGATTTACCCTCCCTCCAGCTCCCCCCACGAATCACGAGTTTACAAAACCAATTCACAACCAATTCATTGGATTTGTATCAGTTCTTCTGTTATCAATACTGCCATCTCTAAGGTTTCACAAGAAGCTTCAAAACATTCCTCTATTGTGTAACTACTGCTGATCTACCTTCCCTTCAGAGAGCCCAAAACACCCAGCAGTCTCAGGGAGGGGCAGCAGCACTAAATCCCTGCACAACTGCTACTCTAGATAACATCCACAGAAGAACACAAACACAGCAGAAAGAAAATGTGACACTTCTGCAGATGGACTAAACTGCACTTCTCCATAAGCTTTTATATTGTACTTCCCACATGATCCCCTCTAACAGCTCAGGCACATCCCAAGTCTATCAGTGCAACATACCACCCATACAGATTAAACGATGAGCAATGCTTATTCAGTGAGTGACCAAGCAGTTGAACAATTTTCCATGTAGTTCAATGCTGACCCCAATAAACACACTCAGATATACAGACAGCATCAGAAATGTCCTTCCCATAGTAAGTGCATGGCCTGGCAGAAAGAAGGGAGAGCCAGTAAAAATGACACCAGCCCAGGTATTGTGAAAGGGCTGTGCTGTGTACTGACTAGCAAGCTCCTGAGAGTGAAGCAGTTTCAAGCAGCCAGTTGGTCTGGTCTGTCCCTGTTTGCACTCTTACCTTACTCCAACTGTGAGGTAAAGTACATTTGCCTCATCCTGAGTGAAAGATGAACAGCAGTGGTGACTTAACTGTTAGGGTCATATAGTATAAACTGCTGAAACCTGGCCCCACTCAATTATTTCATCATTCCCTAGAAGAAACACCTAACTTTGACTCAGAGGTCATCACCACCCCAATTAGTTCAGATGCACAAGCACATTGTGAGTGCAAGTAGTGATATGTATGCTCTGAAATTTTCACAGCTCTTCAGAAAAAAATTCTGTTCCAGAGAGAGCTCAGGAGAGAATGTGGCTGGATGGTTGGACAGTTACTGAGCCAAAGGAGGCTCTGAGGAGGAGGTGGTGTCTGGGAGGAGTTGTTCCATCCTTCTCTGCCAGTTACTAATGCCTCGAATGTGGACTGCTTTGGTAAACACATCTTCTGCCAGCTCCATCTACTCTGCCCAGCTTCCTGGCACTCACATTTGGGCAACCGTTCTTCTGTCTTTGGAACAATCACTTGCACTCCCACACACACTTCCTTAGATGGAGTTTTCATATTCCATCGATGGATAAGGTATAGAATAAAGGCATTTTAAAAGCATACATGAAAATAAGTATGTATTTATGCACACACACACACACACACGCACTTACAGCCCAAGAAGCCTATCTGAATCTTGAAAATGTCAGAATTTCTCCTTCTACCTTTTGGCAACCAAAAGCCAAGAATTAATTTCCAGAACTCGTGATTTCCTTTATGCCAAGCCTCCTCCCTCTGACTGTTAACATTGTTTTGCACTTTCTATCTTCTTGGCCCCAGACTGACCTACATCAGAAGGTCAGATTCAACAACTTCCAGTATGCTGGCATTTGCTGCACAGCTCTCACTGTAGCATTTATGTCACATACAGTACCTGAGGACATTGAGGTCTTAACAGCACATAATTCCTCACCATGCTGGCTTTTGTTTCCTAAAAGCTTGCATGCATCACTAATAAGAAAAATGGAAAACACATCCTGACATCACTCTCATGAAAGCAGGTCACAGGTGCAAGAACGCTCTGTTCACTTTTGATGATATTGCTGTGGGACCCACCAGAGTGACTAAGACAAATGACTGCAGTATTTCATTGAACTATAATGCAATTACTATTTATACATTTTGATGTTAAAAGCACAAATAAATCTGGTCATGTTAAGAACGAACAATGACTTTAACTCTGCACCTCACATATTAGAAAAGGCCATCAACTTTTTAAAATGCAGAACCATTTAGACAATCACGTTTCTTCTGATGATACTTTAGCTGAACTAGTAACAGCATCTGTTACAAAGCTGCTGACAGTCTGTTCACACGGTTTTCAGCTTATAGTTTCCTCAGTTTCTTCAGTTTCTTGGACCAATAACATATTTACAGTGGGTACAATTCCAAGCTTCCTGGTTTTGAAAATTTCAGCCTAAATGTTGCTGTCACTACAGAACACAGTAGCATAGAACTTATAACACATTTTGCTCTGAAAATACCATATTTCACAATAATTACTTGAAGTTTGGCATGGGAGAAATGCTGTCAGGGCAACACCCTTTGCTGCAGCAATAAATATATCCACTTTCAAAAAAAAAATCCAGAGCTTGCAAATTCTCAAAGGAAACTGAGATTACAGTACCTAAATTCATTAAAGATTTCTATCAGTCTAGAGTCCAGTAACACTTTTTTAAGCAAAAAGTGGGAGAAGTTTTAAACACAAAGAAATGTCAGAGTTGTGACTCAGTGTAGGGGAAATGCATGTTCTGCCTATGACTCAGGAGTATATGCCAGAGGAAACCACTGAATGAGAGAGAGGCTTGCTTTATGTGTCATCAAAGTTGGAAAAGCAATATCGAGAGGAAGGGAACTGCAAGAACTGTAAAACAGCTATAATACTAACTGCCATAATTACGACAAAAGGGTACTCTCCTCTGAGAGGCAGAATCCCAAATGACAAAAGACAGGTCTGCTAAATGAACACATTGTACATGGTGATGATCTGGATGATCCTCAAATTCAGAAGCCTGACTTGTCTTCAGAGTTCAGTTCTGGTTTGCAAAAATATTGAACCTCACAGGTGTCTCTGCAGATGAGCTCTGAACAGAAAGCACGGTATCACTCCAAGCACTATGAAATTATAAAAGTCAGGTTTCGTGAACTGCTCACCCCAAAGTAATGGAGTCTTCCAAACATAAATCTCTCCATTGTCTCTGTTCTCAACAACTTCCAGTATGCTGGCATTTGCTGCACAGCTCTCACTGTAGCATTTATGTCACATACAGTACCTGAGGACATTGAGGTCTTAACAGCACATAATTCCTCACCATGCTGGCTTTTGTTTCCTAAAAGCTTGCATGCATCACTAATAAGAAAAATGGAAAACACATCCTGACATCACTCTCATGAAAGCAGGTCACAGGTGCAAGAACGCTCTGTTCACTTTTGATGATATTGCTGTGGGACCCACCAGAGTGACTAAGACAAATGACTGCAGTATTTCATTGAACTATAATGCAATTACTATTTATACATTTTGATGTTAAAAGCACAAATAAATCTGGTCATGTTAAGAACGAACAATGACTTTAACTCTGGACCTCACATATTAGAAAAGGCCATCAACTTTTTAAAATGCAGAACCATTTAGACAATCACGTTTCTTCTGATGATACTTTAGCTGAACTAGTAACAGCATCTGTTACAAAGCTGCTGACAGTCTGTTCACACGGTTTTCAGCTTATAGTTTCCTCAGTTTCTTCAGTTTCTTGGACCAATAACATATTTACAGTGGGTACAATTCCAAGCTTCCTGGTTTTGAAAATTTCAGCCTAAATGTTGCTGTCACTACAGAACACAGTAGCATAGAACTTATAACACATTTTGCTCTGAAAATACCATATTTCACAATAATTACTTGAAGTTTGGCATGGGAGAAATGCTGTCAGGGCAACACCCTTTGCTGCAGCCATAAATATATCCACTTTCAAAAAAAAAATCCAGAGCTTGCAAATTCTCAAAGGAAACTGAGATTACAGTACCTAAATTCATTAAAGATTTCTATCAGTCTAGAGTCCAGTAACACTTTTTTAAGCAAAAAGTGGGAGAAGTTTTAAACACAAAGAAATGTCAGAGTTGTGACTCAGTGTAGGGGAAATGCATGTTCTGCCTATGACTCAGGAGTATATGCCAGAGGAAACCACTGAATGAGAAAGAGGCTTGCTTTATGTGTCATCAAAGTTGGAAAAGCAATATCGAGAGGAAGGGAACTGCAAGAACTGTAAAACAGCTATAATACTAACTGCCATAATTACGACAAAAGGGTACTCTCCTCTGAGAGGCAGAATCCAAATGACAAGAGACAAGTCTGCTAAACGAACACATTGTACATGGTGATGATCTGGATGATCCTCAAATTCAGAAGCCTGACTTGTCTTCAGAGTTCAGTTCTGGTTTGCAAAAATATTGAACCTCACAGGTGTCTCTGCAGATGAGCTCTGAACAGAAAGCACGGTATCACTCCAAGCACTATGAAATTATAAAAGTCAGGTTTCGTGAACTGCTCACCCCAAAGTAATGGAGTCTTCCAAACATAAATCTCTCCATTGTCTCTGTTCTCCCTTTGTAAAATACAAGCAACATTAACCCTATTGCACCTCTCAGTAATGTTGCAGAGACTGATTTAACAGTGGAAAAATTCCAGCTGCATTTAAAAAAAGAGAAAATGGGCAATTTTGTGCTCAAAAGAGACCTTGAGCAGCATGATAAGCCTATACAAGCCCAATCCAGCTGTGTTAAGTTCAAGTATCTTGACATCAGCCTACATGAATATGAAACAGAGCTGTGCTAAGAGGCAAATAGAACAGATCCATTAAAGAAGAGAGGCTATGAAAAAACATTGCATGTTGGTATGTAACACACTTGCAAATACTCAGAAACATGTAAACTTAGTGCTGGCAATTCTAGTTTCACAGTGGAACCTTGATAATGTGCTCCAAATGTAGCAATTTTGAATGTAACAAGTAATAAATGAAAAAAAAAAAAACAAATTAAAACTGTAAAAGAAAGAAATACATAGAAACAAGTCACATTTCTCAGAACTCTAAGTCACTGAGGTAGCCAAAGCAAAATATAACAAATTTCTCAAGGTCAGTGATGTCTTATTTTTTGAGCAATCTGGTCTAGTGGAAGGGGGTTGGAAATAGATGATCTTTAAGGTCTCTTCAAACACAAACCCTTCCATGATTCCATGGATGCTTTTGTTGCTGAGTGACAATAAATTGATCTGACGTGATGTCAGCAGGACAGTTTCTTAGCAGATAGTAACAGCTACACTTTCACACTTGCCCTTTTTTACAAGGAGAATTCTGATGACTTTACTTCATGTTTAATTCTTTTTGATGTGTATCCAGTGTACTGATACTGCTAAGTCTTGTTCCTCGACTCCTTCTTCAAAAAAACAACCAATTAGAAAATGAAGTACCTGACCAAGGGCTGTCCTTTCTAAAAAATAGAGATGGCTTAATAGATTTGTTACTCCTCAACAAAGAACTATCTGTACATCTGAAATTCCCTGTCAGCAGCTGTAAATGTGTGGAAGGGAGAAAGCAAGCAGCTCAAACACTGAGAACCACAAACAGACTTCCTAAGCTAGCAGGATATGTTGATTTACCACAGTTGTGAGTAACACTAGCTGTTGAATAAATAGTTTCAATTTTAAACAAAGGTATTCCTTCACTGCACTTCACTAACAGAGCATTTTGCAAGACAAAACCTTCTTCTTAGCTTAGGAAGATAAACCTCATCACAGAAGCTGGCTCTTACAAAACATGAAAAAAAACTAGTGGAAATGTAGAGAAATTCAAAGTTAGCCAAACAAGAATCAATCAATCATAAGAACTGAGTGGTTTGAAAAGAATGCAAAATAAAAAGATAAGATTAGATTAGTACCATTAAAAAAAAAAATGCATTGGCATTTCTGAAGAATAATGTAGAAGTGTATATTTTGCAGCACATACCAAATTCCAAAGGGAATCCATGAAGATTTGCTATTTCTCTTGGAGTAAAGTACCTCAGTTTTAGTGTTGACAATTTCATAAGCTTCTCTTCTTCCGACAACTTGTCAATGTGTTTAAACACAGATTCAAGCTATGAAGAATATCAAAACCAAGAAATGTGACTGATGCAGCCCAAATATGTAAAATTTACAGACACATCTTAATGGAATATTTCCTTAATCATCAAAGTGACAAAGACAATAGGATATTTTGCTTGAAAGTGTCATTTGCATTCTGGTTTTGCAGCAAACATCTCAACTCATGGATTTGCAAGAAAGAAATCACTGTTGCCATGAGGAAATTCATAATTTCTTCCTCCAGTTCCAAGCTATACCAATACTTAATGGGGCAATCAAAGAGCATACATTTGTTAATGACAAAGGACAGTGACTCAGTATAACTCAATAACAGACCATTCATACAAATTAAGCTGCGTGGATGCAGCTGTTTTAATACTCTTGCTTTGAGATTATCCTGAATTCCAGAGCTGCATTCCTCTTATTCTTAGAATCACCCTATAATATTAGTGAACAGCGCAGAAGTGCAGGAGGAAGGGCTTGTGTACAACACCAGTTTTGTGAAAAGTATCTTTGAATGCTGATTAACCAGTACATTTATTACCTTCCCCAATGCCCAAAACTACTTGATCATGAACCTATTCTACTATTCTATCAATAGTAGAACTTTTCAAAATATTCTTTGCAAATAAATAATAATTTTGAAATTCAGAAATGTTAAACATCTGACAATATTTACTGAATTATATGCATACAAAAAACAGCCCTTGATTCATAACACTGTACTGTAGGTTCTCCATAGAACTAGTATTTTTTAAGGTTTTCACATACCTCTGTGAAACCTCTGTATGACATGACAGATAAAAATAATAGCAACTTATATTCTTATAGACACAGATATAATTTTGGTCTAAACAAACTCCTCTCTAGGAACACAAACTGGAAACTCAGTTGCCATAAAATGTACATTTAAAGGATTATTTTCTTATAATATTCAGAATAACAAATGAGAAGACAGAAAAAACCCCAAGCTTTGAAACAAGTCTCAAGTTTTAAAACAAGTCATTCCAAAATGTTAGACTACACACTTACCTGTACATCTACTGCTGTCTGCAGAACTGAGCCGGTCCCTTCGACATAGTGTCCATACCTTAACAACAACAATAACAATTTAAATTAACATTTTCACTGTATTTCATGGCATTGACAATTGCAAAGGTGCAGGGAGGTTACTTAGGTTTCTTTCCCTTGATGAACAAACAGCCTCTTGGATAGATAAAGCAGAAAGCCTTGTTATAAATGCTGCTAACCCCTGGAGTGCAGTACCCTCTGAACGTGCTCTCTGGGGATGGGTCTGCCCTTGGTGCTCAAGGGTTTAGCCACAATAGTGTCCTGTACATGGCAACTACACAAAGCCAAGGAATTCAAGCATAGGACCACCAAAAACCCCCCCATCTATAGTGCCTAAACCAATTTTACATTAGGGCAAAATGTGTTAAAGGTCAAATGGTCCCAGGGGTTCAAATTAGCTCTCCTTCTTAAAAGGAGGACCACTAGTGTGAGCCTCCAGTTTTCATGTCAAAGCATTAGGAACAAAGTGCTTCAGTCAGGTTTAACTTTTGGTTGCTTGTGGATTTTCCACTGAAGGAAGAAAAGAAAGAAAGAAAAAGAAAGAAAAGAAAGAAAAAGAAAGAAAGAAAGAAAGAAAGAAAGAAAGAAAGAAGAAAAAAATTTAAATCCAAGTAAACCGTAAGTAAACTTGCATACTGAAACCCAGATAGCTGTTCTGCATGCTTTGTGGTTGATTGCTTAACGTGTTTACTCTGTAGTTTCTTCAATGCTATCATTTAAATATAATTATGGGCTTTCAGAAACATGCTCTGTTGGTCTAACTGTGGCAGTTTGAACATTCTGAACAGAAAGAGAGTGAGTCAAGACAACAGATGGCTTTGCCCTGTGGAAGAACTTCAGAAGATTCTCTGCATTAGAGGGATGTGGTCTGCATCAATTGTTAACAGACACTATTCTCTAGTTTTATCTGTACAACTGTAAAGACAATTATAAAGGTCTTTTCTTCCACTTGGGACCCATTCCTAAAGCATGGCACAAGTTATGTTTCAAGCCTCTCTAATCCCACAGTGAATAAAAGAATACTCTCCCTTCAGCACAGACACAATGACCCAGCTTGGCTCAATCTTGAGTACTTCAGTCTCGGCTGAAAAAGATACAATTGGTTTTGCCAGAGCAGCACTCATTTTGAAAAAGTGGCTACAAATCTTCCTCAGGATCAGAACACCTAAACACTGTTACAGATTAAATACACATGGAATCTGTTTTGTAAATACATCATCTTTAATTGGTTTAATCTTTAATCCTGCAAATTCCCTAACACAAAGTTTAACGATGTAATACACACAGCACTGAGGAATCCTCATCCTTTTCCTCTTATATAGCACCTGGTAATATTTCAGCTTAATATAACTGAGCCAAAATGAATAAATGGGGTAAAATTCAGAGCGGTACTGAAGTGTTTTATTTGGAAAAATAAATATTCCTGTCTAAATAACTGGCACTAGGGTACTGAACTCCTCCCCCCCGCCAAAAAAAATCCAGTTGGTGTTCGTGTGCATTGAAGGCCGTGTGTGTGTGAGTGTGTGTTTGAGTGTGCATTTCGATTTTTTAATACAAATGTGGGCATACGGCTAATGTAGTGTTAGCTGGATTGTTATTTATAATTATTGAAGGTGCTGACTACAGAAAAGTTAACATTCCTACCTTAGACCTGGAACATAATTAAATTTTGTCACAGTAAAAAAATGATGTATTGATTTTCTGACAAGATTCATTACAAGTTACAATGAAAGAAGCTGGCTTAAGAAATTACAGTCTTCAATTTCAATCTGATTCAAGATTCCCCGCCTCTTTTATTTCTGTAAGCTTTAAAAAAAATCTTTTCATTTCATACATGTATTTTTTCTGGAGATATTGTACCGTATATTATGACTGGCAAAAAGTAATTTCCACAAAGCGAGAAAGCTCTACTGCAATTGATATTTGCACTGTTTTGAAATGTATTGCTTCTCTTGTCAATACCGTATCAAAATTTAAACTATGTCCGGAACAACTACATCTAGAGAAGTTAGATACGATTTTCATTTCCTCTGTCCTTTAAAATACTCAACTTCCTTTCAAAACTTCAGCCACCACACACTCCAAAGAGAAAGCATGGTGTTGGTAGTCTCACAGAACTCAGCAATCATTCACTAAGTGCCCAGGAAATCAGTGTCAGAAGGGCACACAGAATTACCTGCTTATCTCTCATGTATTACATTTTGTTGTATACTCCACCAAAGCTTTTTAAAAGACATACTGGTATAGCAAAAATCACTGATGAACTATCTGTGTTTGAGGTCCCTGAATTAGAAAGGACTAGAGAAGGTATAGCCAGATTATTTCCATCACGTGAACGTTGCTAGAAATACCTGAAAACCAAAGAGAAAAGAGGGAGATTTTTCTCCCACTCTCAAAACAGATGGTCAGTGCAACTTATAAGACAGACAAGAGACAGGCACAGCAGCAGAGGGATTCTCTGTACTACCAGGAGTGCTGTTCCACCCACTTCAGGGGTCTTTTTCCTAGATCTCATGCTTCAGAGAAATATAAAAACAAGAACATCTGGAACAGATACAGCAGGGGCTCATTTTTGGCCTCAGAAAGTGACTTTAATGAGATGTAATTATAAACCTTCTCTTAATGCAGAGCTGTAAATGAGATGATTACATTGAGAAATATGTTGGCAACCTTCCTTCCCAAAGGCTTTTGAAAAACAGAACAAAGATGGAAAATCAGACAGAACTACCACCACAACTACCTCCATATCAGCAGAGGGATAAGAGTCACCTTCCCTGGTGTCATTTCCCACCACTACGTACAGAGACTTGATTTTAACTACCCAGGAGCCTCCTTCAGTGTGATTTTGATAAACATGACCACAAACTACTATGACATATTCTAGTGTAACCACAAGTGGCCAATTACTTTCAATGACACTTAAGGCATACAGAAAACACATCAGACACCATTCTGGCTAAGGGTTTTTTTGACTATTCTAGTTTAGAAAGATATTCCACGAGATACTGACTCCCCCTCAACTCAAAAGAGTGAGGGCAGCAAAGGCACATACATATATATCAATGAGAGCTGAGGGAAGACCTTTCCCATTGCACAAATTTCAAACTTTTGAAATTCCTTTTCTTCTTCTTTATTGTCTAAACCTTGAAAATCAAAAAAAAAAAAAAAAACCAACCCTGCAAGAATTCTGTTAATCTGGCAGTTTAATTTCTCCTAATTAAAATAAAAGTTACACTTGGCTTTACCTCATCATCCAAGACATCTTATTGAAACACTCAGCAAACTCAAAAAACCAATCCAATTAGAAAAATTTATCAGTATTAAAAATTCCCACAAATTTGCAGGTTCCAACTGGAATGTTTCAATACAAATGCATTCAGTGGAAAAGTTCCTGATCAGTTGTCCACAGAGTTTCAGAACACTCACCAACTTCCAGAAGTCGAAATTAAAATTGCAAGGTGCAAATCAGAAAACAACTAGACAGAAAAGCACTGATGTTCTGCCCCATCAAATGATTTGTAATGCAGCAACCTAACTGGCTTCATGACAATCCACAGCTATTCTGATCTATATAGCTGAAAAATCCAAGAAATCAATAAAATGTACAGTGGAGACAGATTTAATGAGGAATGGATCTGTCATGCATGACACTTTGTAACTTCATTGAGCAATATAAAGAAATTCATTAATGAATCAGCACTATACCAGTCTACTGGAACCATATTTCCGCAGGGGTAATTAAGGTTCTGTGAAGGTCAACAACAAATGGCAACTGTCTTTTGTGAATGCCTTTTTGGAGTGGGCACATGATGCTCTGCCAGACAGATTCTCATGCAGGCATTCATCTGGACCAGCAAGCACACTATATAAGGAGATTTCTTTTAAAGGCCTAGGTTTTTTTGATGAAACACCTCTCTGTGATTTTACAGGACACAAGCGAGAAAATACACTTAAAATTTCAGGACATGATTTAGCAAAACATTTTCTTGGCACCTTACCCTTTTGTAAAGCACGTGGATCTCCGGCAGGTGGGTTTGACAATGTCTAACAAGAGAGCATAGCGCAGTAAGGATTTTGGTGGTAAGAAATATTGACTTATTTCTTCATTTTCCTCTTCCAAGAAGTCTTTTAGCATTTGAATAGAGGAATCATTATCCTGATTATGTTTCCTTTCCATCTCTTCTACTGTTTCAAGCTTAAATAGAAAGGCCCCTTTTGGTAAACTCTTCTTGCTGCTGCAATCTGGACCAGTGTTTGGATCCAGATTCTTCTCCTCAGAGGACAAAAAAGAACTAGTTTCACCCACTTTGTCGGCACCTTTTTCCTTGAGTAAATCTGCTGGATCCTGATCTGGGAATCTTGTCAATATCTAAGATGAAATTATGACAAAAATAAAATTAAAGAACTGTATTTAATAAACAACTTGATAGCCAACCATACAGAGAGTAAGAAGTCCTTCCAAGATGCTCACAATAACTTTTAGATGTTATTTTCATGAAGATTTCAAAAGCAGTAGCATCAAGATTAGTAGACCTATTGGCAATGATGTCAGAACAGCCTAAAATAATTGCCTTTGCAAAAAGACCTTTTCAAGTGTGTAAACAATGTAGCAATATGACATGTTTCCTAGCCCACTATCAGGCTAGAAAACATATCTCCCAAATGTTTAAAGCCATCTAAGCCACAGGCATGCACATCAGTCCTTACAAAGCTCAATATCAAGGCTGAAAAAAGGAGACAGAATTTAACTCTTCTGTTGGAATCACTCATTCTTCTCCATTCATCAACACACACCACTAAACTGAAAATTTAACCCTCAATCTTCATGAAATGAAGCAAATTCAAGTATTATAAATAGACTCACTTGTCCAGGAGCTTGAAAGGAAAATGGTTCTTGGTGAAGCTTTGCAATTAGAAAATACCGCAGCCTGGAATTGGGAATGCCAAGCTGTAATGAAAATTCAGAAGCCTTTAGTCCGTGTGATAGTAGAGAAAAAGTGGTCTATTGCATCATACAAGTTATCTGCCATTACATGCAGTAACAGAACTATGACACATTAATATATTTTATTACTTCAGAGATATCAGTATTTGAAGAATCAGAGATTCATAAAATGGTTTGTGTCATCTAGTTCCAAGCTCCCTTTCACTAGCCCAGGCTAGAAGGCTGCAATTAGGTCACCCTGAAGCCTCCTTTTTTCCAGGGTATTCTCTTGGTATTAGTTGATAATACCTCCACACACGTGTAACTTCCATACCTAGGGACTTACAAAGATCCAAGTGATCCAATTATTCTCTGTATCTCATAGTTTTGACTTTCTCTGTAAATTAATATGAATGTAAACAAAATTTTATGTGATTCAAGTAGAAAAATTTGCATGCCTCACGATTACTTGGGACAGGTACTATGGTTTCTGTTGAAAGCAAAAAAGTCTCTCTTTGCCTTTTTAAACAAGGAACTATAAAACACCTAACAATTAAATAAATCTACCACAATTGGTTTTCAAGCTACATTCTATTAGCTTCTCTCAAATATTTATGGTACTTCACTGATTCCAGTTAGTCTTGCATAATCTGAAATTTCTGTCAAACTTTTTTCAGTTGCCAGGGTAACACAGAAACAAAGCTCCTCCTCCCACAAGAAACAGTCACATTTTCTGTGCTGGGAAATCCAGAGGCACAGCACTTCTGAAGCAGTGAGGCTCCCGCAGGGAAAACCACCTTCCTGGTTACAGTGGAAATTCATGCCTTCTTAAAAATATCAAATGGCAGCAAAGCAACATGGGACTATGATCTGAACACAAACAGCAATATAACTATGTCAGTATGAGAAACTAGAAGTCATGTCAGTTGGTTTTCTCATTCAAGTGTATGCTTTGAGCATACACTTTTCTAACATGGAAGAGAATTTTCAAATATTCTTGGACTCAGTGCACTTTGACCTATTAAATAATATTAGAGCAATTTTAGTACTCACACAGGTTGGAGACAAGAGAAATTCCTGATATTTAAATCCACATGTTGCTAGTGTTTGCAAAAGTTCGTTTCTGAAAGGAATCAAAAAGCAATTACTCCCTTCACGTAGTCTTTAGCCCCTTTTTTAATCCTAAATAAACACAGATTAAATTCAACATCATATTTACCAAAGCATTCATTGAAATAATTGGACAGCAAATTATTGATATGTCATCCATTACTGAATTTGAGAGACATCATACGAAGTTCAGTGTTAGAGACTATTATACATGCAAAGGCACCTCACTCTTACTACAGTGCAAATGCCTCTTCAAAAAATGTCCCATCTCTAGGAAAGTAATTGTGGTGTGTCAACAAGGAAACTAATCAGAGGGCAAGATACTCTCTTTACTGGGAATCATAAAGCAGGAGATTAAAACCACTACAAATAGCTCACTACTTCCTTCTGCTCAAATACACAGCACTGGCTAAGCCTAACGAAAAGGGTAAATTGAGGGATGACAAAAATCAGTGGCTTTGATTATAAAAATGAGGTGGGTCTGTGCTTTATAAACAATGGAAAGAGACTGTAAGGGAAATAATCTTAAAAAGACTTTTCTTCTGTATTCCATGCAGACTGCACTAGGCTGGAACTACACCAAAGACAGGAGCTGTGACCTGTACCCAGCATTGCATGCGAGACTGCATCTCAAGTGCCTTAAGAGAAAACAAGTGTCCTAACCAGGGTGTTTTCTGAAGCACAGCTTGTCCCAAGCACAGGCCAGGAAGGCACAGCTTAGGGAATCCTGGGAGCTACAAGAGAAGACCATGAACACTGAACCAGCTGAGCATGTCTCCCCGCTGCCTGCCATTTGGATTAAGAGCACATTATGCAGGGTGGCAGCTGGTGCTTTAAGGAGTGCACAGGAAGATCCCACTTTATTCCAGCAAGAACTGAGAAGGAAGATAGCAACTCTCTCTCTCTTGCTTTGGTCACAAGAGAGGAGAGTGCTCTTGCTGTCATTAGGTAACTGTAGTGACACCTTTCCTCTTCCCCATTTCAGACCGGGACTAAATACTTCTTACTGCATCTCTGGACCATTTGATAGCAGCCCTGAACCATGGATAATCTAGTATCAACAGAGGCACTCAAGAAAGCCCCATGGCTATTCTGTGACCATAACACAAGATACCATGGGATGCTGTCATGAATAAGCCCCTGAAACCTCTGATTGTAACACCTATTACTATTTTTCTTTGAAAACTAATTCTGACCTTTTCTAAAGCAAACATGATCATCAAATAAAATCAAATCAAATACTCACCAAATAAAATTAAAAATAAAATACTGTTGTGTTTTATCCACTTAGAGACACAACCACTTATCTAGCAAGTTCTTTTCACAACCTAAGATTTCAATTCCTGTCCCATCTCAAGCTATTTTGTTAACTCCAATTCTAGGAAATAAAAATCCCTTCTAAAGAATAAATCCCTTCTCCTTCTAAAGAATATATCCTTTTTGCAAGCTAATGCCTGCATATATTAATTACACTTTACCTTGCAGAAGAGGATTCAAATCCTTTAACATTTTCTAAAAGTAGGTATTTTGGAAGCTTTTGAAGCCTACAAGGAAAAAAAAAAAAAACAAATCAGTGTAACAAGATGTAAAGTACATTATATTCATCTACAGATCTGTTTAGCTAGCAGAAAGATCAAAGTATTTCCACATCATGCTAGCTGTTAAAGTTTAGCATCCTTAAAAAACCAACTGAATTAAAAATGCGGACTGCTAGTAAAAACCACAAACTCCACCCTATGTTTGGATGAACAGCTGTATCCTCTTGTACTCCATGAATGTACTTTTGACAATGTTTCTCACTTTTCATTTCCTAAAGCACAATAATATTATTAAACAGATTCAGTGTATAATAGGAAACATAATTGCTGGGGGAAAACCAACTGCTACTTAGCCATAAAACAGTTGTTTTCAAGTGCTTATACCTGAAATCAATGTCAAAATGTCACATGAACCTTACTGACAACACATCAAAAACAGTATTCATTTAACTGATTTAAGAAACACAACATATTTAGAGTTCAAACTGCAGATATTTTCATTTTTCTGAACTTGACTTTTTTATTTTGATGGGAAGGAGTTGTCTCAGCTTTAGCAGAATCAGTGCAAAGGTCTGGAAATAGGCACATTCCAAAAACAGCATATTAAATCTCTGGAGAAATGAGCATGCCCAAACTGTGCCAGGGACTGTTCCAACAATTTAGAAGCGTAGATGATTCAGATTCAGGTCTCTGGGAACATTCTGTAGCACTGATTAATTCTCTAATAAGGCTAATGTAGACACACAATGTCTGTCACACACTGGGACCTCAGAATAACATACACAAGTCGGATATTAATGTCCCCAGACAGCAGCTTCGTGCTTATTGAAGTTAGTGACTTTGGACTTCCATTGGAACAAATCACAGCAGAATTTGTTTCAGTACATTTTTAATTTTTAATTAAAGAATGAATTAAAAGAACCAATGCATCTCACAAGAAACTGGAAAATGTACAAGAAACTATGCCAAATTTAAAAATAGTAAAAACAATAGGGAAATACTTAAAATAATAGGGAAAAAGTAATACTAGGCTAAAAAAAATCAGCATCAGCCAAATTCCTAGCAGAGGAATGGAGAATATTCTACTGGTATGTCTACCCACACTCTTCATCATTGACTACTATGAAACTTGCTTTTCAGCAGTGAATCCAGAGCACAGCCTGAAATGCAACCACTCATAGGGGATTGACAGATCACAAGGCAAGTAATCACTGTACAAAAAGGAAGTGTTAAGTACTTGGCAGGTATTAACATTAAAAATGTTTCTGTAAAAGCAGCACTTGGATGTTTTAGCATTGGATTTTGCTGGGTTATGGCTTGGACACGATAAACAGACATTATCTGGACCATTTGGGTTGGACTTTTCTGGCTGGGTGTTCCAACGATTTCCCATGTCTTTCCAGATCTTGAAATTGTCCTTTCCATTATCTCTAATATTTGTCATCCCAGACTACCTCTGAGTCTCATTTCACCAGTATTTTATTATAAAAGACTGAGCAAAATCTAACTACATCCAAGGGATGATAAATTATTTTACACTTTTCATAAACTGTATGCATACCATAGCAATTTAAAATGTAAAAGGATAATTCCTACAGTAAGAGTTTCCTTTTTTGAGGCTGAAGTACTCCATACTCAATGTCTCACAAAAGTATCATATTCAAAAAACACATAAGCGCTATCTTAGTAAAACACAAATCCACTGGAATTGAGAAACTCTACAGAAGCCATCATGTTGAACCTTCTAGTGACTACTTAGAGTAAGTGCTGCTTCAAGAACCCTCCCCGAGGAGATAAGGGACATTAGCAGTGTCTCCTGGGGTGTTGAGATAAAAGCAAGACAGCCAAGCCCAGGTCCTTTGCATCATCGTGATAAAAATACAGGTCCCGGAGTGTGTCTAAAGCTTTGGTTTTGAGAAGGAAAAGCTTCTGCTGTTTATCTAGCTTAGTCCACAGCAACTGGGAAGCAGTATTTCCATATTAATGCACTATAATATCCAAAAGCAGCCAGCCTCTTAACCATGTTTCAGTTTAATGAAAAGGAATCCCCAGGTCAGGAGATGCCTTTAAGGACATGGAAGATACTATTATTCTGACAAACTAACTTACTATCTGCCAGGTTTCATTTTTCATTTTAACAGAGCAGTTGGAAACCTGTGTTACATTTCTCGTTCCACAAAAGTCATCCTTCGTAATTTCTAAACAACCCACATTCTCTCCCTAATTTTGTGTCTCTGACAGAAGCAGGGGAGTAGTAATACCCATTCTTTTTTACCTAGAAATTGTCTGACTTACTGGGCTACAGAATCTGTGTTTTGTTCTGTGTTGTCTGCAACAGATTTCTTATGTATGGTCCTGCCAAGCCACTCAGCCTTTCTGTGTCATTGCTCTCTCTCTGCTCATGACAAGGGCAAAGACACAGTTCCATTTAATGTTGTTGGCTGCATAAAGTTTCTAGAACAAGGATGAAGACTCTTTTCTCCCAGTGCTAACAGCAGTTTGAAAGAAAGGCTTTTTGGCACTGACTTACTTCTATGTTGAAAGCATTCATTAAAAAAAAAAGAAAAAAAAAAAAAGTAAAAGAGACGCCAAACATTCATCTGTTCTCCAATCCTGACAGCAAGATGAACTAATGGAGGAATACATAGGGAAAAGCTGTCCTAGTCTCCAGGTGAAGCAGGACTGCCACTAATACAAATAATTACGGCTGTTTTATTATGAACTGGGATCTGACCAGGCAAAAAACAGATGAATTCAATGACAATGTCCAGACAATGCAGTGCTATTCAATTCTTTAGTATTAGTACTCCAAACAAGAGACTGTACTACAAACCAAAAATACACAATCTGCCCCAATATATCTAGAGGCAGCACCAAAAAGAAGAGACTTCAAGAAAGAAGTGGTTGCAAGATGCATTGCATTGTACAGTCAATAGCATACTTAAACCAATTTTCAAGTGGTAACACTTCAAAAGATGACTATATGTTTAACCTAAGCTTTTGTAACCCAATATTTTAAAAACCTTTCATGTTTCCATGAGTCCAATAGACAAACGATTATATTACCTACTCCTGTTTCTATATAAAATCAATGCAAATTTGATGTTGGACTGAAAAGAACTCTTTCTTTTCATTTATTGTGTAGGCATAGCTTAAACAGACAGGCAATGAAAAGGAAACCGGATAATAAAAGTATATATAGCAACAATGAAGTGATTAGAGCATTAGTAAAATACAAGTATTTGTAAGTTACATATGATCATGTGAAAACAAACACAGAATACAACACAACAGTAGTAGTATCCCTCTAAAACATTACAGATATCTTGTCTCAATGAAATATAGTAGACCTAGTTATAACAAAGTCTAGTTACAAAAGGGGCTTTACAATGGAGGTAGAAGTTTATACCTTGGGAGAATATCAAGGATATAGAGAAAGCTCTTAGTCCGTGGATCGGACACGTCACCTTGCCGGCCAATTCTATGAAAGAACAAAGAAACAGCGGTGTATTACTCAGAGCAAACTGACACTGGAGTTACATCTTTCTACAGAATGCAGACACTTTGATTTGAGTTTCTGAAGGGGATTCTGCAAAAGCCTCACGTACAGACAGGAGGACCTGCTCACAGAGGCAGTGTCCTGAGAGATGCTCTAAGGAATGAAAGTCTGCCCCTGGAATCCATCAGCTCACAGCAAGGTTAAAATTGAAGCATTCAGTAATGAAATCCACTCCCCAGTCTGCAAAGGCTTTAGCATTCTGGTCTTGTCCTGCAAAGTCTTTGAACATACTTGGCTCTGAAAGAACAAAAACCCCCCACTGGGTTTCTGGGAATACCCTGCTATTTTGCACTGAATATATTAAATTATTTCTATGAATTAAAGCCTCATTGTTCACCATTTAGCAGGACTGAGCCCCACATGAATAACTTTGGAATCAATTTTGTAATACTAAACTGGAAAGATTATGTAGGTTACAAAAATGATAATGATTCCAGGCCTGTGTTTCCCTAGCTTATACTTGTATTACCTCATAAAAAAAGAATAAAAGCTTTGTAGAAGAGCTTTAACATGTATCTAAATTAATCAGTCATACACAGATTTTTCTTTTCATCATATTATAAAGAAAAAAATCTGAAATGTTTCCTATATACATCACAGGTTTGCACTAATTCATTTTTTACAGATCAGCAACACTTTACAGGGATTTCTTTTCAGTTTAGAACATTCAATGAGATATACTTTCTTACACAACCATTATTATCACCATCAACAGACTTTTTCCATGATGCTACTACTTTGTGTGTGTGCAGTTACTAGAATCTTACCCCACTGGTCACTGCTGTCAAATGAAATGAATTACAAATTAATCTGAAAAATAACATCTCAATAAACGCAGTCCTTAATCAGCAAGATATTTCTCTTTATCATCCACAAAATAACTTCAAAGCCATTATCCTTCTGGTCTTGGCTAAAATAGACATATTCTTCAGAATAAACTGTCTGTGTGCATGTGCAATTTTCAAAGTACAAACAAAACCAGATTACACTCTTAAGTCTCAGGCAGAACCAAGAAATTCCAATCCTCCTTCTGGAGTTGCCCCAGGAAAACATCAGATTGATATCCAAAAGGAAAGGCAGGACTCCTAAACACTAAATTTTACTATTAGAGGAATAATACAGTTCACAGAATTGGTGCTGTAAGAGGCTTACTTCACTTAAACTGAATTAATATATACATATGCAAGAAATGTGGTCAACAATTAAGACGCAATTTGCTGCATTTCTTTCAATTCAGTAAACATCATGGTGAACAGAGCTACAACACATTTGCTTAGGAAGAGAAAGATGCACAGATCACCCACACACAGAGTCACTATGTCGTGATAACATTTCTCCTTTGACCATATATAGCGCAATAACTGCACTTTTTTCCCAAGTGTGCTGTACCTACCTTGTAAAAGGCTGACAGGGAGGACTCATCAAAATCATATCAAAAGATAATCTGTCAAATTCTTCCAGTGTTATGCCCTGAAAACAGAAAAAAATAATGTTGAGTGTTGTGAATTGTATGAAATTCTCAAGTCATCTTTCAGACCAAACTACCCCTCTTACTTCCAGTATCCTTCATTTAGCAAAAAACGACCCAATCTCTCACTTGACATAGTAATTTTAAAATCTTTTCTACTCTGGCAAACCATAAAATGTAAATATGCACTCACTGCTCTTCATATGAAACAAAACACTAATAAGTACATTATGTAATTTATACATAATCTTGAGGTTTCTATCTGCTCATTCTTTGAAGTGTGTAGTGGTTCTTTCAGTAGATACTCACCTATTATTTCTCCTGAAAATAAAGTATCATTACTCAGATATTAAGCCTTTGTACATCAAAACCAGTCTTTACATACTCAAAATATGTGTAAAAACATCTGAGAAGTAAAGGAGCTCAAGTGTAAATATGATAATTTTTACAGATCCAAACTATGGGTTTTAGCTCTTAGGAGCTCACTGGTAATGCACCCTATAAAGTTTATTTCATGGTTTTTCCCCTACAAGAATTAGTCAAAGGTACTGTATGGCTGAAATTCTCCTACACAAAGCCAATCCTGCTTAGAAAATAAAGAATTAGGTCTGTGGTAGGAATTAATCACACAGGTAGAAATTCCTCTACCTGTTCCTCTACTAAGTTTTCACTAACACTAAAAGATCAACACATTAAGGGGCTGGAAGGAAAGAACGATCAAGTAACTATGACTTGGACAATGAAATCACTCCTTACATATTCTGAGGGATACCTATACAGCAAATGTAATGTAGCTACCCAGAAAACTAGACAAAAGTTGTTATTTTTTTCCACTATATTTGAAGAAGGTGTTACCGACTCTAATAATCTGCTCTTGTCTACTATAAAATGATACAGGCAAAGATTAATCTTTTTTTTCCATTATAAAACTATCATTTAGCCAGTTATTATTGAGTGCTGAATAAGCATTTAACCTTTAGCCACCAATTTAACTCTCATTTAAGCTGGCGTCTTAAAAAGACACAGCATCTTTTACTGTCATGTTGTAAAATCATAAAAGCAGATTAAGAAGCATACAGTAATTTCTAACTCAATCCAAGCAAAACCATGCCTAGCTTGCCTCTCATCTATTAAAACAATTATTTTAATCCAATTTCACTTATTTTTCAAATAATTTGGCACGTGACAGAATTCCTAAAACATTTTATCTATTGAGGCCATTTAAAAAGATTCAAGAGTGTTCAGTCCAGTATATTTTGTTGTGTTTCTCTGAGCCCAACTATAACTTCAAAACAAAGGCATGCCCCCAAGTAATTTAATTAAATTTTTTCGAAGTACATGAAAATATTTTTTTTCATCTAAAAATATGATTTTTGACATTCCTTTACTGATGGTAAGCGTTCCCCTTGACATTTATATAACCTTTCTCCATGCAGAAGGCAAGAATTTCAGGAAAAGCCTGCAGTATGAAATCCCTCTTACTTCAACAAGCAAACAGCACAAGCAATCAAAGTTACTGTAAAACTGCTTTATTCACGATAACATTTCTGTTTCTCTTGTTACTAATAAAGACAGTGAAAGCAACTCACATCTTACAAATGCCAGACTAGAGTAAAAAACACATTAATTACTCACCTCGATAGTCTTTGCCCATAACGGCGTGCTGGGAAAGTTGTGCTTATAAACATCATTGGCAAGAGTGTTCACATCAACAGCAGCTACCACTTCTGCATATGTGCAGCTTTCTAAAATTAAAAAAATAATTTGAAAATTCTAGCTTCTCTTCACCATTCTTAGAAAAATATATTTGCTCAGTTGTTACAGCATCACTCAAAAACAAAAGGCAAATTACACAATCAAATTCTGCTGTGTTGTCTTTTGAAACTTTGTATAAAAAACATACTCTTATTCTAATCATATGGGCAATACTTCCCTTCTTTATATATCCAAAAATGGAAGCTAAAGTAGATTTAAAAAGCAGATTAAAAAATTCCAAACAGGGTGCACCTCTCTTGTAGCTCCTGGCTACAAGAATCCTAAATCAATCCTACCAAGCCCCATTGCTTCTGCCTTGTCCTCTGGCAACCTACAAGAAATAAGCATCTTATTTTAGATGTGTACTACTTCTCATTATGAAAAAATAGCACAAATATATTTGATGTATGTCTACTCTTCCAATAAAAACTTAAATTGCCTGAAAAACATTTGTGCTTACATTTCAGTAAAGCCTTAGGCCTCAAACTCAACTGCTGCCTCCTTTGAGTTAAAGGTCCCAAAATACCAAACTTGGCAGCTCCTCCTCTCTTAAACAGAGATGTTATTGAAGAGAGGACAGCATAACAAACTCACAGCTAAAACCCTGAAATAAAAATACCCTAAAAATAATGTAAATAAACAACCGTTAATTTATAAAGTAAGAAAGTAAGAAAGTAATAGGTACTACAGGAGCTAAAGAGATAAAAAGAGCAGTGTTTACTTCATTGCTCATCATGTCACACTATTTATTATTACTAAACACAATACCTTCACTGAGGCTTTTTATCCAAGAAGACAGGCTGTGGTTACTGTCACAGCTGCAGGCAGAGAAGTGACCCTACCTCCTGATACCCGAGATCAGTATCAACCACCAGGATATTTACATTATGGTCGGCATTACAAAGCCTCAGATGAAACACAGGCAACTCTAAAAAAACTTTTGCAAACCAAAAGAAACAAGGCAAATAGCCACATGCCTTTGAATAATCTCACAATATGCTCAAGTAACACATTAACAAATGACCTTATGAGACACCATATGAATTACTACTAGTCAGCTAATTATTTACAGTTTGAGAGGATGAAAGCCCAACTGGGATGACCCCAGTGGATTTAATTTTGAATAATGCAGTTACCATCCACCCACTATCTTTCAGGTGTTCTTAGGCTGTCTTAGTCAAAACTAAGATGAAAGAGAAATCTGGGTATTGAAAAGATTGTAGCAGACATTTTAACAAGGACCAAGCTGGTTCTTCCAGGTTTACTTGATGCAATCGAGGGCAAAAAGATAAGGTTTTTCACAAGATAAATACTTACAGACCATTAAGAGTCAACATACAAATCATTATTTGCCATTACTGTCTTGACCTTTTGACCAGAAGTTGTAACTGAGAACTAAATACAGGTGCATCCACAAGGACAATAGCATGACTACACCTGAGATTACAGAACAGGTAAGTTAACACTGACACCTAGCGTGAAAAGAAAGCTGGATGAATGTCTCAATTTACAAACGTATTCAAGAACAACACTCTCATCTTCCTAAAACAAAGCTGCAGCATCTAAGTAACAGGAACAAACTTCCAATACTGTTAAAGAGATTGCTCTTCTCACTCACTCCTTCAGTTCTTAAAATGCATTGTCCTAACAAGCTAACCCTTACTGTGTTTTCCAAGTACTCCAGAAGAAAAATAAAATTTAAAAAATCAAGACCCTCAAATTATTATCTAAATTAACATATAGTTTTAAAAGGGCAATTGGGAAGGCAAGCTCTGTGCTTTCTCTCACAACTCACGATTCAGACAGTTGGTTTTTTACTGCCATCCATTCATTATCTCCCTGAATACCTACAGGAAAAAATAGCAACTGAGGACTTCACAGGCCCAAAAGCCTGGAGATAGGGGACGAGAGCACACATCTAATAGTAACCTATTGAATCCTCTTGCAATACAATGTTCAGTCTAAACCAGAGATGTCAGCCAGCATGGAAAAAGGACAGGAACTTTTCCTGAAGTATTCCACCTGAGATTCTCTCTTCCTCATTCAAAGACCTGGTAACTTTTTCAAAGCCTCTCCTCCTTTTAATTTCAAAGTTGCAGCTCACTTGGGAATTCCTGTTAGAGAACAGACTCCCTCTAAAAGCTGATTAAGCGTATTTGTGTGGAAATGCCCTGGAAACGCATGAAGGAGCTCGAGCAGACAAGCGGCTCTCACACATCCAACCTAACAAAGAAAAGCTTGTCTAAATTTCAAACAATGTGAAAATGCATCATTTTTAAAGAACTTCTCCTGAAAGTTAAATAACTTTATGTCAAACTGTAATAGTCTGCTTTCCCATAGCAATTACATTTACTACTTGAAAATTACTATCAGGAATGCATCATTAAAAAAGCCTGAAAGCAGAATTTAAGCTAAACAGAATCAAGACTGTGTTTAACTATCCCCACTGACAAAAGCCACAAAATCAACTCAGGAATCGCTGACTTGGTGGGATGTTAAATCAACTCCCCAAAATACATAGCAAAACTTCAATACAGAAACAGACACAGCTCTGGAGATCTTTTTATCCCCCTCGAAAAAGTACATCCAATTTTCAAAACACAGATATTTAAGAGAATTACAAATGCAGGAAACAGATCGGCTGCTGGAATACATGATTTGTAGGATTCCTCCACACCAGTTTTTCAACTGACACTTCATTTCTGAGCAAGATCACATAGTTCAAATGGAAGTCACAGATATGATAGGGAAGTTACTGAGGGAGGTGTTATGACATTTTCAGCAGACTAGATTGTAATATTTTCTGTTGGCTGAAAGCAGGTGAAATCAAATTTGTATCATCCTATTAGTAATGTACTGATTTCACACTTAAAGCTTAAAACCTCTTGGGCCCAGACAGCAGAAACTCTTTGACTGCTACTTAAACTGCCTAAAGAGGCAACAATCAAACTTTGGGTCCCAGTTCTCTACTTCATTGAATACACAATGCTTACAAGCCCTCTCAGGTATGGAGTAGTCATTCTTGAGGAAAAGGGACACTGCTGCAAGGATTGGAAGGAGATGCATTTGAAACAAAGAAAGCCAGGATGTGTGCATTAGCTTCTGATTTGAAAAAGTAAACCCAAAGTGTCACCTTCAAATGCCAGAAACAAAATTTCTGACATTACAATATCTGTCCTTTTCCTCTTTAGAATTGATTCCTTTGTCATGTGTTTCTGCAGACCTTAAAATTAACATATATCTGTTTATATTCACTACTGTACTTTTGCAATAGAGTCATCAATGTCAACAGAACACATGAAATACACTGTGTTACAGCAAGGGCGGTTTGGTGGATTTCAGCATATTGGAAAATAGGAGCCAGAACAATTATCTTTTCTGACAGGTATATGGAAACAGATGGAAAAGAGAAGATTAGTCATAAGTTTTGTCGGTCCTGTTTCCTTTTAAAACAGAGAGCAAAGATTTAATTTCTCAGTTGTCAGCTCTTGGCTGAAATGATTAGGCTGAACTGACCATGGCTACAGTCAACATGACTATCAGTAAACTTGATACTGGGTTCCTGCAGGATACTTAGCAACTCCTTTCACTGCTCTATTTGTAAAGGATTCGATCATGTGAAGCCATATAAACTTTATAAACTTACATTATAGCACAACTGGTACCACCCCGTGCTACAAAGAGCTATATTTTGGAGAAGCATTAAATTGTGTTTAGGTGTAAAAACTTACTCAAACCAGCAATCTTTTTGTTTTGCATTGTGCTGGAAGTCAAAGCCAGTTTTGTCTCCTTTGCCTCTCCTGGTGGGATAGCTTTGCCCAGTGTAAATACACACAACAGTTTACTGTGCTGTGCAATTCACAGAGACAATCAAATACAATGAACAAACATGCATAACAGAGCACAAAAGTTGTTACCCTGTAAAACTGAAATATAACAATTGCAGAGGAAAAATATCACCAACTTCATCACTGCAAACTTACAGTATTTTTTAGAATATGTCCTTTAGTGCTTCCTGCAAGAGGACTTTTTTCAGGGACCTGACAGATTACAAATGCTTGTGGCAGAGACATGGAACCCATTTTTTCATGGGAAAACTGCCTAAATTAATAAGCCAGTTTAGGTTTGTTTTGGTTGGGAAGGAGGAAGAGCGGGCTGTTTGTTTCATGGAAAGTTGCTAAGGAAATGAATATGTAGGCATAGATTTTCCAAAAATAAAACTATTTTTCACCGCAGAAACTCTGCACTTTATAAAGAACAAATTCACTCACACACACACACAATTATCATATATTTAGACGTATTTGACTTAAACATCAACCTTTATAAATCCAAAAGGCTTGGGGTAGAGGGTGGGAAGAAGAAAGAAAAGCACTTTGATCCCTTAGCTGCCTCAGTCTTTCAAGAGTGTGAATATGAACAGACTCACTGATTTCTAACTTCAACTAAGCTCAACTTTACCATCTTTTGATGGTATCTTTATCAAAAGATACCATCAAAAGATGACATCCTTTTGCAGGTCTTCGGTGTTAAAATATTATTATAAAGCATTCAAAATCTAAAACCAGAAATTCTACATGTGCTGAGATAGCTATAGCTAAAGTACCAACACAGAACTAGACAACCCCCAAGATTTTTCTTTTTCATCTTTAGACTGAAACCTAAGTTCAGAAACAGCCTTCTCTCCATTGTCAAAAAGAATGTGATTAAACTGTGAAACTATGTACTCACAATTTCCATGTACTCTTTAGAGAGAAACACTTACAAGACACTATAAATTTCCATCAATACATGAGAATTCAATTATTTTTTACTGTAGACAAGGGCAATCTCAAAACCAATGGTATACTATTTGGTGCCAAATGCATTCTACGTTAATGACAGCTGCCGAAATAACAAACATCTTCATCCTGCAAGCTATCCTCTAACTAAGTTTTTGAAAGATCACAGCCAAGAAGGGCATCAAGGTAGAAAAGTCAACATCAGATTT